AGAGTCTCTGGAAAATTGGGGGAGATCATGGACACCAGCACATGTGTACTGCAGGCATCTGTGACATCATTTCTAAGTCTGCTCCCTAAAGGATGCCATATATTAACTGATCCGGTTGAAGCAGGCAGTATTTGGAGAGCCATAGTAGAAGAATAAGCTAAAATAATAAATGGGAACTCAGTTTTTAATTTTTATCAAAAGGTAGAAAGTTCACAGGAACAAGGCAGACTATCCAAACTACCACAATGAACAAAATGATGCCGCTCATTGAAAAGGAACACGTTTTAGAAGTAGCCCACAAGGTTAGTAACAAATAATCTCTTAGCCTTACCCTGAAGTCTAGCTTGAAAGGCACATGTGTGTTAGAGATGACTGGGATGTTTATTGGCAAATCAGGTCCCCTGTTGTATTAACAAGCAGAGTTCTGTTGGGTTATTTTCTACAAATAAATAAGTATATATTTCAGAGTCACTGAATTTAAGAACTGAAAGAAGTCTTAAAGTTCTTCTAGTCCAACCCAATTTTGCAGGAGAAGGACCTAAGGCCCAAAACACCTGAGTGCCTTCTCCAAGATTCTATAGTGAGAGTGAAAGCCTTCATCATTTTTCCAAAAATAAAAGGCAAAAATCAAAACCACAGAATAAATTCCTGCAAATAATTAATGGCATTTTAATAAGGTGGTACATTTTTATTTCTTCCCTGATTGTTGTTTAATGTTGTTAAAAAGCATCTTACTTGATATCATTTCATATTTGAGGTAGCTTTCTGATGAGAAATTACTAGCAGGCATAATCTTAGTAAATATGGTTTTAACATCATTGAGAACTAACAGTGTACTGGATATTTCTGATGGGTCAACATTACCAGATGGCAGAGGAACGCAGAACTATTTCAGTCTTATTTTACATCAGCCTCTGTAACTAGGTGTGAAAACTTAAGGAACAAAGTATAAAAAAATATATATATATATCATTAAAGGGAACTAAAGCCCAAGTTTAGCAAGGAAACTGGAAAAGATCATGCAGGATTCCTTAAGGATGTTTGAGAACTCAGGTACCAAACAGAAACTGTTCTATAAGATCAAAGCTGCCTCCTCCATTGGAGATCTTGTGTAAGTTATTTCACCTCTCCATTGTAAAACAGACTAGAACAGAAGCCATCTCGTAAGATTCATAATACATATAAAGTTCTTTAAACAATGACTGGCCTGTTTAAGGCTCAATAAATTTCATTAATTATAATTATTGACATTAAATTACACAAGTGATTTCAAGTCTCCAGATGCAGGTGTAAGTATATTCCAGAATAATTAACAACTTACAAAAATATTTCTTGCATAAAGAATACATAGATTACACCAAACTCTGTACCTACAATTTAAGACTACTATCGTGATCCATAATATAAATGCCTGCATTCAGACATTTGCTAAACCAATGCTTCATGAATGTCCATCATTTGATTAGCATCTGTGTAGTTCCCTATTTATGCTGCATTAAATTGCCATAAATTAAGTGGCATCAAACAAGAGAAATTTATTCTCAATACAAGAATCACCTCCTTGAACTATATTTCCCATCTTTTTGTAAATCTGGAGTCTGAAAGACAATAGACTGAAATAGATCTGATGGCGCTAAAATCAGGCTGTCTGCAGGGCTGGTCCTTTCTAGCAGCTTCAGGGGAGAAACCATTCCTTGTCTCTTTCAGCTTCTAGGAGAACAGAAGCCTTCCTCCTTCCTCCTTTGCATCACTCCAACCTCTTCCTCCCCTCATGACATCTCCTAATACTCTGTCTTTAACCCTCCAGAATCCCTTTTATAAACACCCTTGGATTTCATCTTTGGATCTATGCACATCATCCAACATAGCCTCCCCATCTCCAGATCCTCTACTTGGTTATATTTGTACCCTTCCTTCTGTATGGGATGACACTCATGGGTCCCAGGGTTATCATGTGGCCATCTTTGGGGCCAATAACTAATCTACCACACCTTCTTCACCATTTGATTTATGCCATGTCTGCTTACCAGTGCACTATTAATATTTTTCTTTATTTTTAAAATTTAACCTTATCTGTGAACTCATAGTTTCAACGGGCTAGTTATTTTTTTTTCTAAAATTCACTAAAGTAACATTTTAATAAATAAAATTAAAAAGTTTTCTATATTTCTAACATGCCCTAGACTGTAAGTGATATAAATACTATACTTTAGGAAATGCTAATTGCAAATTCTTTGGTGAATTGATCAGCATCAAGGATTGGAGAAAGATTCCCTACAATATTAGAAACTGAGAAAGGGTAGCCTAGTCTAATGATCAAGTTCACTATATTCTTTTCTGAAGTCTTTGATTTCTATCTCAGTGTTATTTAGAATATTTGAAGGTATGTTTTTGAGTCGTATTATTGAAGATAAGCACAGAAATTCCTTGAGTTTCAGTTTAATATTGAGTTCTCTACCATTAAGGATAACTTTCTTATACTGTACATCCCACCTTTGTAAACTGTACCTGGAGATGATCCATTGGTCCTGAATGTTCTTTGTATAGGGAGGAAAGTCATAAATTCCCACTGGAGTTTAGTTCCAGCAAAAATGATGTCCTCTGCTGCTAAAGCTGTTGGCTTTCATTGACCATAGAAGAAAATGAATGTAGTCAAAGTGATTCTTTTTCTTGTTTTTTATTTTTATTTATTTATTTAGCCTAAGCAGCCAAATATAATCAGATTCAAGGTGTAAATGAAATCACTTTGGGACCCTGGGGTTCTAACAACAAAATTTCCAATATGAAGTATATTGTTTGGAGACCTCATTGTTTTGCTGTTTATTTTGGGTCAAATCTTTGAAGTAATAAAATCCTATTATAAAGAAACTTGAAATTAGATGCATTGGGATATTTTATATGAAATTAATTCCTGAATCCTGACCTGTACTTGATATTTTAAGAAAGTAATTTCAGTCGGCATAGGAACGTGCCTCACAGATCTCCACGACAGAGGACTCGATAAGGCTTCAGCTGACATCCCATGAAACCCATCTCTGTGTTTGCATCATGCCTTGCTCCCATGGGTTGCTCCTAGGACAGGATTGAATACAGAAGGAATTCTAAGATGCCCTTTCCTGGGAGATATGGAAGTCCTCTGGCAGGACTCCTTGCAGGTCCTGCCGAGCCTTTCTTAGATCACATGTAATTTAGGATATTTCCAACCAACCTTCTTTCCCTCTTCTCATTCATTGAACTTACACTGTGGTCAGAAGGCTCAGCTTTCTTTGGCTCCCTTTTCCTTTTCTCTCACAGGCATTTCTCTAATTAAATCCTCATCCATTTAAACCCATCTTGATATCTATACCTGGGAGGACCCAGATTAAAAATATTGTAGGCCCGGCCGCTGGTGTCCCTGCCAGGGGCAGCAGAGGGAGAGGAGGATGCTGGGTGCAGGAGCGGAGGGGCCTCGGGCTTTAAATCTTGGCGCCAGGAGGCAGGTCTCCCGACCCTAGACTTTCTTCTGGCGTCAGGGGCAGGCACACACTCTCTTTGCTATGACTTCACCGTCAATTGTAAGCCAGCACCTGGACAGCAATGGTGTACAGTCCAAGGCCAGGTGGACCAGAAGAATTTTCTCTCCTATGACTGTGGCCTGGACGAGGTCAAATCCTTGAGTGCCCTGGGAGAGAAAGTGAGTGCCACAATCACCTGGGAAGAACAGAAAACGGCACTGAGAGAAATGGGGGATATGCTAAAACATAAACTGGCTGACATTAAAGCAGAAAATGACATGGCCAGGGGTCTGCACATCCTGGAGGGCAGGATGTGTCGTCAGCATAAATCCATCAGCTCCTGGCAGTTTGGCTTCAATGGACAGATGTGGCTCCACTTTGACTCAGACAACAGAAGGTGGAGAGAGATGCATTCTGGGTCCAACTGGATGAAAGAAATGTGGGAAAATGACAAGGAGGTGACTGAGTTCTTATGCAGGTCCTCAATGGGTGATTGTAGAACCTGGCTTCAGAAGTTCTTGGTGCAATGGGAGCCAGAGCTGGAGCCAACAGGACCTTCAAGTGCCATCATAGACAGAGTCTCCCAGGAGTCCGCAGCCAGCACCCTTATCCTCTCGGCCTTGCTCTGGATCCTCACCTACTTTATCCACCTATGCCTCCAGATCTTCCTGACAGGTTAAAGATGCTCCCAAGAAGCTTCTGAAAATGCGATTCATTGAAATAACTATCCTTACTGATCTTCTGCCAATCTACTCCCTGCTATTCCTCCATAGAGCAAATGAAGATTAAACTGCAAATCCAGAGGCCTCCAGTGAGTCAGTCAGACTTAGTCACTCAGCCTAGAGCTCCTCTGCTTATTCATATCTAGTGAGGATTTAAAAGATGTTCCTGGATGTCACTTGTAGGAACACCATGAGCCCATACCCTACTTCTGCAAGAGCTGGATGGTTCTGATTGCTGCTTTCACTCTCCCATCCATCACAGCAGCCACCCGCATCTTTCCTTTGCTACCCATTGGCCCCTACTACCCCAAGATCTGATGACCCCCATGAAGATCCATTAACTTCAATTTCAACTTTGAGCTCTTTGTTCTGTTTTGTGACAGTCCGATCCTACACTTTTTCTTACCCATTTCCTGTGCTAACCTATGGAATCATATACTGAGCTCTGACTGCTAGAACAAGAAACCTCAACAAAGAGTTTTAATCTTGGTTGTGTTATTAAATACTTCTCTGTATCTTGAGCTGACCTTTATTATAGTTTGGATCTGGAATGTCCCACAAAGATCCAAGTGTTGACTATGGTGCTATTGAGAGGTGAGGAAAACTTTAGGAGTGGAGGTGTTGAGTCGTGTTTTGAAGGGTTCTTTATGTCCCAGGCACCTTCCTTTCTCCCACCTCTCCCTCCCCCTATCCCTGTATTTAAAAAAATAAATTATTTTATTGCTACAATAAGTTAAACCATCTCTTCTGCCACAGCTCCTACTGCTGTGATATTCTGCCTTACCTCAGACCCAAAAGCAATACAGTCAAGCAAACTTGGACTAAGACTTCTGAAACAGTGAGCCAGAAATTAATTTTTCTTTCTTTAGTTTACTGTCTTCAGATGTTTTTCCACAGTGATGAAAAGCCAATACAACATTGATGGTGCAATATTGTCTGTAAAATACAATGAAACACATCATTTATAACTTCAGGAACTCTTTGTATGTTTTGTTTTAGTTAAATAAACATATATTTTGTCAACAAAAAAATCATAACTTTCAGATCTTAAAAAAATTAGAACACCTCTATTTCCCCAGTATTTGAATGCAGACACGCATCTAATTTATGTGATAGTTGTACCAAGTTGTTTGGTGGTATATTTAAAAACAGAAAGCATAAATCACAGCTTTGTTCTGGCACCATTAACCTGGGCATTGTATCTGCCTCCTGGAACCCTTTCATGAAAATTTCACCGTGGCTTCAGGGGCATATACTTTATCTACATCTGTGTAGTATAGTTAGACCAGTAGGCCATCAAAAGACTGCTGATATAATGATCAAAGATGAAAATAGACTTCAGTAGCTGTTACAGGTTTTTGTGATGACATGTGCTAGAGAGGAACAGAGTCACCACAGAGCTCAGGTGGGAAGTAATTGAGACTGGATATTGCTGACAATTCATTTAAGAAGGACATAGGGAAACCAAAACAAGCATACTGAAGGCTGGGAAGGAGGGAGAAGGATGGAGGGGGTGGTGTGTGGGAGGAGGGTGGAGTGTGGGAAAGAGGAGACAGAGAGGGATAGAGGAAGGGGAGAGAAAGAGAGAGAAACAGACAGACATAGCAAGAAAATGACAGAATCAAATAGTTGGCCTGAAATTTCCCATTGAAAAGATGGAGTACTGATTCACTATATAATATCCAATTTGAAGATAGAAGGCAAGTTAAGTTTTATTCTTCCTGCTCCAGACCCTCTGGTAGGAGACGCCTCTTTTTATTGCATTTCAAGTGACAGGAATTTAATCATCATCCTCAAGCACGGGCAGTGTTAAAGGACGTGGGCAGTCTCCCATGCTATAACATAACCTCTTGCAGCTTTTTTGAAAATACTACAGTTATAGGTCTACTTGCATTTCTGATTTTAACATATAAATAAGCAGTCTGCAAAATATATGTTCATCATACATATATATGGGTTAGCATATTCAATGATATTTCAGCACCCTAGATGGTACTTGAAGACAATCAGAGACGCTGTGAGACTCCTTTAACCAACTTTGTGTTTGGGTTTAAAAGGGATGTTGATAGGATTGAGTCACTGGTGCTGAAACACAATTAGCTGTACATAGTGTCTTGTTCTCAAAAAACACACGAGTCCATGGTGTTAGGTGTAAATTTTGTTTGAAATTTTGTTTTCAAAATAGTTGTAGTTGTTCTGCTGGGCATGGTGGTACATGTCTGTAATCCCAGTGGCTGGGGAAGCTGAGGCAGTAGATTGTCAGTTCGAAGCCAGCCTCAGGAACTTATTATTGAGGCCCTGAGCAACTGGACTGGGGATGTGGCCCAGTGGTTAAGTGCCCCTGAGTTCTATTCCTGGTACAGAAAAAAAAAAGTTTTTCTCTATAAAATATAACAAAGGGTTAATAAACAGTTTAATTGAAAGTCTCTTAATAGTCTGAGTAATAGAAATAATGTCATTTAAAAGGGGTGGAGGATTTGGAAATAGGAAAAAAAAACATGTATAGAATTATTGCTCCAAAGTTTTAATTTTTTTCTTTTTTAAATAATTTGATAATAACTCACTCTAAAACATGCATATTGGAAAGGAGAGGTAGGTATGGGACCTGTTAAACCTACTAGAATTCTTTGGGACCATCTTAAACTATTCTGTATACGTATTTTTTAATTTGTTAAATATTTTTTTAGTTGTCTATGGACCTTTATTTTATTTATTTATATGTGGTGCTGAGAATTGAACCCAGTGCCTCACACATGCTAGGCAAGCACTCTGCCACTGAGCCACAACCCCAACCCCTGTATACATACTTTTAATGATGGAAAACATACGCACTACTACTAAGGTCTTTAACCATATCTTTGATTTATAACTCAGAAGTGGGATTGCAATAGAAATATATTTACGTTGTGGTGTTTTCTATGGTAGAAAAAGAAAAAGCATGGCTTTCCCGAGTCTAAGGTCCCTTCAGTGACAGCATTTGTAATGAATTTCAAGTTTCTACCTCAGTGGACTGCTTTGAAACCCTCAAAGATGTTGATATTAAAGACAGCAATACCTTGAAGAGGCAGGGTGATGAGCAGAGAGGACAGCAGTAAAGAAATTTTAGATTCAGGTACACTTTAAGCCAAACTGAAGTTGATTTCAAGAAGATAAAAGGCAGATAACCATCAATAAAATGTCACCAGGGCCTCTGTTTTAGCCAGCTCTTTTGCTGCTGACTAAAAGATCTAACCAGAACAATTGTAGAGGAGGAAAGTTTATTTGGAGGCTTAGAGTTTAAGAGGTCTCAATCCATAGACAGTCAGTTCCATTCCTTGGGCTCAAGATGAGTCTGAACATCATGGTAGGAGAGTGTGGCAGAGGGAAGCAGCTCACACAGTGATCAGAAAGGAGAGAGAGAGAAAAAGAGAGAGAGGCACTCTACTCTCCAGATACAAAATATATACCCCAAAGCCAAGCCCCAGTGAACCACTTCCTAGAGCCACACCCCATCTGCCTCCAGCTACTACCCAGTTAATCTCATCAGGGATTAATTCACTGGTTAGGTTAAGGCTGTCACCCAATCATTTCTCCTCCAAACCTTGTTGCATTGTCTCACACATGAGCTTTTGGGGGACACCACATCTAAACCATAACAGCCTCTGTAAAGGGGAAAAGTAGCAAGTCAAAACCTAAAGGCATCTATGCTTAAATGATACCTGGAATGGAAAAGGAGTCTAGCAGTACAAACATTGGATAGAAATGGAAACCAACCGCCAGTAAGACAAAATTGTGAATTATTTTCCATTTCGAAATGCTTTAGAAGTTTTGTTGTCTAAATAATCTCTAGCACCTCCCAAAGACAAATTAACTGGTGGCAATGCCCAGGAATTTTTTACTCTAATGCCTTCACTGATAATTCTGTCTTAATGGTTGGGGTGTGACTTGTTAGAAACATAGCTAGACTAAAACATCCTCCTGTGTGGCATGAAGTCGTATTATTGTATGCATCTGGTTATCCATGAGGATCACTTTACTAGAGACTGGTACTGACTTAGATTAGGTGACCTCTTGGAGTCCCTTGAGCTCTAAAATTCTTGGAGTCTGTGATATAAAAAAAAAACATGGTGCCTTCTTATAGAAAACAAACAGCTGGGAACCTCAGTTTTTGGTCAGAATGTATTCACAGAGAACTAATTTCCTTTACTTTAGACAAATATAAAATATATATTTAAAAAAAGTATTTGGACATTAGGCAACAGACTCCACAAGATTGTGATCCCCAAAAAAGGAATACAAAGGAGATGTGACCTAAGGCTGTGCTAGCTCATTGCCTAAACACAGCATCCAGGGCACAGAGCAAGGACAGAACAGACATGGCATGGTAGTCTCCACTGTGTTTAAATGCAGAATTTATGGAGCAGAACACCAGAGAAAAGAGAGGTGGAGAAAGGGGGGTGGTGCGGGGCGGAGAGAACGAACTTCAGAGATCTGCAGAGTGTTCCTTGGAGACTTTGAGCTCTGTACTGATCAATATGTGCATGTGAAGAAACTACCCGAGACAAGAGGGAGAAAGAGCCACCAGAAATATATTTATTCGTCTAGAGAAATCTCCCAAGTCCCAAGCATATGAAAGTTTTCCCTCTACTGCTCATATTTGGAATGAACCACACCTCCTTTCTCAATTTCTGAATCCCTGGTTTCATTTATGTTCCAGTTCAAATCCTCTCTACCCTTAACAGTTTCTTACATCCTACTGTAAAGATTTTACTGGACTTACTAAATCAGAGTTCAATTTACAGTATATTTAACCTTTTGTGTTAATATTCCTGAAGGCAGAGCCTTCTTTCTTGTGTGTATTGCCATGAACCAAGCATAAAAGCAATAATCGTTATTCTGGACTATGTTTTGAGTGCTGTGCCAAACACTTCATTTACTCTTATTTAATTCTCCTCAGAACTCTTGAGGGAGGAACTATAATTTAGCCACTTATCAGGTAAGAACATTGAAGCACAGAGAAGTTGAGGAATTAGGTCGATTTGAACCATTTAGTTATATCTGACTCTGTAACTAATGCTGTTAACTAACATTTTGTGAATGGATTAAATATATTGCCTTATGAGACACAGACACAAATTTCCTCTCTTTATTGCCAAAGGTCCCTGGAGAAGCCTAAATACAAGATTCATTTTGGAGCTCATGTATTTTTACAGTAGAATCAAATTTTTAAGATATTTTTCTCTAATTTGTAACAAATTCTTGAAATAATCAGGAACACATCAGAAAGTGTAAGTACGTAGTTACATGGACTTTACAGAAATAAGACCCAGGAGAATAAATCTTGTGAGGCCACGTGCCATCTTTGCCTTTTTCACGTATTTCCTTTTTCACTTAATTTTGAGTGGGTCTTTGATACCACTCTTTCCTGTTGGGTTTTCCACTACTTTTCCGGGTCCCAGCTTAGGAGAGAAATAGTCATTATTTATTACAATCCATTAACATATGAAGATCAAAACTAATGTAAAATTTCAAAGTATTGCATGAAATTTTAGAGTTGTTTTCATTTTTTGCTTGTCCATCTTGATATTCTCGGTGTATTCATTTTTAAAAAGGTATGGGGAAGTAAAGAGTGTGTGTTGGGGCAGAGGGGGTGGGTGTTAGAATAAAACCTTGTCCAAGGAATCTCAGTTTTAAATTCTTTAATTGGGGAAGCAGACAAACCCCCTTGAACTTGACTAAATAAAAAATAACACTACCTAATTTAAAAAAATGTTTGACCAATGGAAGATGTTAAACTGACCTTGTTCTTTCTGTGATCCCTGGTGAGGAAAATTTCAAAAATCCAGTTCTGACAAAGATACTCTAATCCATAAAGGGTAATGTCTAATGAAGCTCTTTCCCAAAAGATATTTAAAATATAAAGAGGCCATATCTTTATTTTTGTTGGTTCTGCAAAAATACAAATATATAGGAAGGAAATGATGATTCCAATCAACAGTCAGTGGTAATTAAAAGCAATTGTAGTCCTCAGGCTGTTTCTTTCAAATATGACCCAGTGATCAGAAGGAATTAGAAATGATTACATTTTAACCAGAAACACATTTCTGTCCAGAACTAAGCTTCGAAGCATGACAAAGGCACAGTGGTGGCCCCTGTTTGTGTTTCCATCTGGGGCTTTAATTTGAACTTCAGTGATTATTCTACAAGACGTCTGGCTGTGCAGATCCAGAAAGTCAAAGCTAGCATAGTCTTGTATGCTGTTTCATACAGAAAATAAAATTGCACCAATTACCATGTTTGCATTTTTGCAGAATAGCTCTATTTAAATTGATGATATGTTAAACGAGAGTATTTGTAAAATTCACAGCTCCGAGTTAATCTGGCTTTATCCCAGAGCACCCAACCTGAAAAGTGATTGTAAGCACTCTTAGGAAGGAAGTTAGCAACCTCTTTAATGGAAAACAGTCTGAAACAATTAAATTTAACTTGATTTTCAAATTAGGAAGTATAGTCCACAGTTGGTTTTCTATTGGAAATACTTCAAACGCCAAAATGCTCATCTTTTTCTGATACCTAGTTGGGGCTTCCAGAATGACATTGTCATCAGTGAAGAGAATAAAAGCAGATGAAAATGTAACACCTCGTGCCAGGAATTACTCAGTAATGGAAAGCACCTGAATGCCATTGTAGTGGCTCTGACTTCACAGATCTTGGCACCGGGAATTTCCATTTTCTGTGGCCAGGAGGGAACATGGAAGTTGCAAATGTCTTGATGGAAAGAAAGGAAATGACTTTGGGGCCTGAGGAGTTTGACCACTTTCTATATTTGATGTGAAGTGCACAGTCCTTTTATTTTCTTAGTCTACATAGCACACGATTCTTTTGGACCTGTGAATCTCTATTCCTGATTCATATACAGAGAATTCTAACAATTAGGATATTTAATATAAAATTTTAAAATATTCTAAGTAACTATGAAGATCTTAAAATAACAGAGTAAAATGCTACTATTTCTATCCATCACCATTGTGACACTTTAGTATCGAAACATTTTCTCAGGAAGATGAAGGGAAGAAGTGCTCTTGAGGGAAAAAGTAGACTCTGGTTTCCAGGAACAAGTCAATGTTCTCAAATGGCAGGTTCTGTTCCTTCATTTCATTTCAGAAACATCAGTGTAATACTTCCTATGTGCCAGGCATTTTTCAATATAAATTCATTTGAATCCTCATGTCAGTGCTGTAAAGGAGGTACTATTTTTAACCCTACTTTACAGAATAAGATTGAGACTTGAATTAAGCAATTTGCCCATGATCCCCATTGTGAAGGCAAGGTTTCTGAAGCCCCGTGATCTGGCTCTTGTTTCTTGAAAACTTTCACAGTGCAAAAACCTATGCAGCACACAGAGATCACCGATAAAAGCTGTATGATGACATGAGCTTTGAGAAGAAATGGTAAAGTAATTTTGGAGTAGGCGGTATAAATTTTATAGCTTAAAGATGTTTTTTCATATTTGTCATATTAAAAAGTAAAATGTTCTAATGCTACCATCAAATCCCTAGCTGCATAAGTGTGATGAGAAAAATGCACATCAATCAAGTAAGTTGTCTTTACAGTCTTTCTTATTAGCATGATGTAATGAAGATAGATCTTAACAACGCTAAGATGAAAAATGGGGAAATTCTACATACCACAATACTATTTATGTAAATTGAAATATATGCAACATAAAACCATATGTATGTTTTACAAGTACATATACCAGAAGAGAAAGAAAGGATACTCAGAAAACATCACAAGAGCTGCTTTGCGGGTAGAAGGAATGGGAAAGAAGAAGAGGTAAGAAAGAATAAATGGGAATACAAGCTTACAGGTATCTTTCATATAAACTAAGCTTGCAATTAACCTCATAATCCCCAGGTCTGAAGCAAGGAAAAAGTACCTACCTAACCATTTATCCATGCATATAAGGATTCCTCTTATCTATGTATTCATTCATGGGAACAAGGGAAAGTGAACTCGTTTTGTTTGGCTGCTTGTGATGGTTAATTTTATAGGTCAACTTGAACACCCAGACATAGAGCCATACATGATTCTTTTTCTGTGAGGCTGTTTCTGGATGAAACTAACATTTGAATCAGCAGATTAAGTAAAGCAGATTACCCTCTTCAATGTTGGTGGGCCTCATTTAATCTGTTGAAGGCCTGAATAGAAAAAAGACAGAGTAAGAGAATTCTTTCTCTACCTGTTTTCTGGCTGGGACATTGGTCTTCTCCAGCCTTTAGCCTCAGACTCAAACTCAAATTTATATCATCAGCTCTTCAGCTCTTCTGGGTCTCCAGCCTGCTGACTGCAGATCTTGGGACGTCTTGGCTCCCATACCTGCATGAGCCAATTCCTTATTTATTTAATATATCTTTACATACATAAATGTATTTTATATTTTACATATATGTGTAAAATATGTATAAATAGATGTTTATATTTGTTACATTATAAACTATTTTATTATATTTTTATATAGTTCACAGAACTTACATATATATGTATATATACACATATATTTTTGTGTGTATATATATGTATTTTTATGTGTGTATACACACACATATACACAATATATTGGTTCTGTTTCTCTGAAGAATCCAAAACAATACACAGATATTCATTATATATTAATTATTAATCCTGCACAGCACTAATTCTCACATATTTTGAGCTCAGGACACTTTACGTTCCAAAAATGACTGAGGATCCTGAAGAGTTTTTGTTTATATCATATATGAAAATATATGTAAAGGAAATATATAAGTTCTAGATTATGATTTTCAACCCACTTTAATGCACTTGTATCAATTTCATTGAAATATTGAAGAACTGAAAACTTGGGACTTCATGGGTTAAGTAAGACTTGCACCTTTTTCTTACAGTAAGCACATGACCATGAAGCACTCAGCAGCTAGTGCTGCCCCCATTCCTGTTCCAACACCAGCCTTTTTATCCACCTTGCTTTCTTTGTACCATCAGTGCAGATGTTACACTGTAAATAGAGAATAACATCTTAGCAGCATTAGGAAAATCATTTGATGTCACAGGATCCACAGGGATAGTCCATAGACTACACTGCTGCTCTACAATGATATCTATTCAAATTTGGCAACTAAAAATTTGCATCCTACACTTATCCTAAAGAAGTCCCCATGAAATCTGAGTCAGATACCTCCCAAGCCTCAATAACAGTGAATCCAGTATTTTCAAAGCCATTTGTTCATTAGTTAAAATTGTATTTACCTTAGTGATGTTTGGAGTGTCGATCTTTAAAAAGCTTAGCATTTAAGCAAATTTTCAAACTTTCTGAACTTATTCTTAAGGATTTCACAGCATTCCCAATGAGACTGCCAGTTAAATCAGTGACAATTCTGTTGCTTTATGGCCTATTCACAAGGTAGTTCTGAGGTTGTTTCAGACCAAGGCTGGGCTCTGATCAATACTTAATCAACCCACAGACTGCAATTCACTAAATCACTTTTTTTTGGAGGCATCTATCCCATCTTGTTTCCAGGGACCCCTACTCCATTGAAATCTGCAGAAACACAGTTTAAAAAAATGTTCATTCTTGCCAAAAAAAAATAGACCTTCAGGCTCCTGAAATTAGTACTCTGGGAATATTTTCTGTGTTTCTGCAACCTCTCCCCCCACCACAAACCCTTTTTTCTTGGTGGTTATGGAGTGTTATGTCTTAATATCAGGCAGGTAAAGAAAGTTCTTTATGTCAAGAGCATGAACATATCCTTCTTCTCTAATCAATAGACACCTCTGATGGCCTCGTAAAAGCACCGGACTAACTCTGAGGGATTTGTAGGTGAGGAGAATGGCAACAACGTCTTGGAGAGAGTGAAATTAAAGTCCTTGGCTTCAATTACCTGAAAACATTTTTGGGAGGAACAGCTCAAACCCACATGAAAGGTCAGTAGTGAACCAAGGTGATATCCCATGAGAAATCAAATGAGTGATACCCAGTCAGCGCTACGCTTATGACCCCAAACACTCTCTTGGTCTCATGATCTCTGCACTTGATGTTCCCTCAGCTTGGAAATTTTTCTTTTAGCCCTCCACACTTTTTGCATTTCTGGTCAAATGTCACCTGAACCTTCTCCCTATCCATAATAGCATTGCCTGCTATTACTTACCCTGTTTTATTCTTCTCCAGAGGATATACTACCACCTAACACATAATATACTTTGTTTATTTGATATTTACTGCCTCATTACATCTGAATGTAAGTTTCAGAGTGCAGGGACTTAACAATTCACTGCTGGGTCTTAGGGACTAGTCTTGGTTCATAATAGGAAATATATATATTTCCTATTATGAGGTGAGGAGAACATATATATATATTCTCCTCACCTCCAAATCCTTCAGAGTTGGTCCAGTGCTTTTACGTGGCCATCAGAGGTGACTTCTGATTAGGGAAGCAGGATATGTTCATGCTCTTGATAAACTACATATACTATAAGAAACTAGAACTTTGTTTACCTGCCTGATATTAAGAGATAACACTCCATAATCACCAAAAACAAGCGGGGGGTGTTATGGTGGGGAGAGAGGTTGCAGAAACATAGAAAATATCCCCCAAGTACAATATATATATATTGTTGAAGGAATGAATAAACACATTACTTAATTAATTCTAGAGTAGCTCAGAAGCAGAAGGGGAGACCACGTGTACTAACTCAGTGTTGGAGGAAGGATTTCACATACTGCATTTGAGCTGGGCAAATGAACGGTGTTTCATGTAAGTAGTGCCAATGGCTCAAGTGGTGGTGCCATCTGTTCAAGAGAGCCTTGTTCTGGTCTCTAGAACTGGGTGAGTTGTCACTGTCTTGGGGTCCCCACTGTGGAACAACTCATTCCAGTGTATCTTATCTGTTTACTTGTCTGGCTTCTCCAA